TTTTCAGTCATGCACAAGACTAATATTCAGCTTGTCTAGGAAAACTTTTAAAGCAAACAATAAGATACAGAAAAACTGACTTAATTTCATTTCCAACAACCATGCAGTAAAAGCTTTTTGTTTCTTCTTTTTTTGGAAGTAGACAAGTTTGTTTTGAAGATTGTGAATGCCATTTGTTTAGGGAAAACATTCTGAAAATACAGTAATAAACACAAGAACTTTTCATTCTTTACTGGTCTAATGTCCTTTGAAAACCTGTCTAAATTTGAATGACATAGAACAAGAAATATGCCCCGATGGTTGTGGGGGTCTGCAGGCACGGGGGCTTATCAGAATCTGGGTGCCTCCTTTCACAGTTTTGACAAGTTCTTTATTAAGAAAAAATAAAAGAAACAAAAAGAGCCCCACAATATGAATTCATCGTCAATCACATCGTCCAGCGATGTAGATCCGTGTCAGTCACGATGCCCGCCGCTCGCTGACTCGATAAAAGAAAAAAATCCCACCGCACGCCACCACATCCACACCAGACTAACACCGGCCACAAGTGACAGCTCTGGTATGTAAACAAAAGGACGGAGCAAGTCCCATGACGTCGTCTTTGTTTACATTCAATTAGGGGATCGAGAGCTGTCACATAATATAATCAAAGGGGCAGGGGCAAGTCCTGTGACGTCACAGAACCTGGAAGAGCTCTGAGCATTTCAGGGTAGAAAGCTGTCAGATCCTGCTCGGTAGTGCTTGAGTTAGATGAGGATCAGGAACTGTCTGTCCTGAACATGCTCTGGCACAGTGCAAGGGAGACATAAAAGACCACCAATGTTTTCTTACGCCGCCGGGCAGTACACCACCCCCTTGTGATAGTAATAGTTTTTCATAGTTTGAAAAAACAATATTGTGCCGAGCTAATAATCATACATATCTAATAAATTAAAACATATATAAATGAGTCACATATATGAGCCTTCAAACAAATGAGGCAAAAGAAATATCTACACACATACAAAAAAGCAATAGAGAGAAAAAAGAAAACTCTATTTGGGCAGAGCTCCTGATGTCACCACGCTGAGCCGGACGAACAGTTTTCTTATCACTTTGCTGCCATTTGTCCTGCTGGTATGATCCAGCTATACCCAATGCCTGTACTGTTTACACCATTGTGAGTACGCATTTTTTATATAATAAATTGCATTTTATTGGACGTTACGCACTATGTCCTTGTCCTTTTTCTCTTTCCACCGGGATTTATACTGGTACCTGTGATCTGAGGAGACCTTATCGCCTTTTTCTGTGCATGGGCTTCCCTCCCCCATTAAGAAGGGAAAAAGTGCATTTGACCTAGCTCTGTGGGTCTACCTCCCCAGGTGAGCATTCACTTGTTATCATCACTCACTGGGTGGAGGTGAAGGTCTGCCTGCATTGTGTGATTATCCTTACCTGAGAGTTATATGCACATTGGCTGCGAATCATCTGAGGAATTTTTTGCACAATCACCATTGTTTGCGTTTGTTTTTTCCTTGGGACTTTTTTTGCCTATATTGCTTTTTTGTATGTGTGTAGATATTTCTTTTGCCTCATTTGTTTGAAGGCTCATATATGTGACTCATTTATATATGTTTTAATTTATTAGATATGTATGATTATTAGCTCGGCACAATATTGTTTTTTCACATTTTACAGATATTTAGTTATATCCTTAGTGCTTGGTAGCTCATATTTCCACATTACACTTACTGGCGCTGATCACCTTTATTGTTTAGTTTTAGTTTTTCATAGTTTGTTGCCATTTCAGGGGTGCACACAATTTAAAATTTCAACTTGTCTGTTATCTGTTTACTCAGCAGAATCTCTTTTTTTAATATTTTACAAACATTTTGAATATATTGTGTTTTTATGCACTAAAATGAGTTTTAATGCATTTTCAATTCCATCCATTCACAGATCCTTCGACAGGTTCTTTGAATGCAGAGGGGCTTGTAGTTCTTGATGGAATACAAGTGCAGTGACCTCACCCCACTTGTAGTTATTCATTCTCCCTCCCATCTGCAGGAGCCAGAGCTTTGTAGAGCAGAGCAGAGGCAGGAGTCTCCACTAATTACAGTTGAAATGCTTCACTGCAGAAATATAATAACTGCACTTTTATTTTCTTTTATAAAGAAATTGCATTTAATTAATTTTTTCCTGAAAAGTGGACTTTAGCTTGTTATATGAGTCTGCATGGTTCTCAATTATTTTTTTCAGGCATCTATATAGCACCGACAATTTACACAGCACACATCAGTCCACATCATTCCCTGCCCCAGTGCTGCAAGGCTGAAGTGCTAACCACTATGCCGCCCAATTATCCTGATTATTGACAAAACTGGAAAACAAAACATTAGAGAAAGATCTTTTGTATCCGTCCCAGTCTCTTCTTGAAGTCAGAACAGATAATTACAGAACAATGTCATATGAGTTGTTGTACCAGTTTGTAGCATGTGACACACAACCGTCAAGCTTGTCAAGGTGTGTAAGGAATCACTTCAAATGTTTTACAAATCTATGAGACCATTGATTTGAAGAGTTTCTAGCAGGAAAGTATCCCTATCAATATATTGTATTATACTAACTTTCTGGGGGTTAACACACATAATCATGGTATTCAGTATCGTTATTCCTTACATGCCATTATATCTTTCTCCACAGTTACATATTGTATAAACCAAGCAGTCCTGCAGAAGTAACAATGACTGGTTAAATCTATAACACTGTCAAGGGTGCTTCAACATAAAAAAAAAAGCATAGACATAAAGGGTAGTGACAGTTAATCCAAAACATTGTTGCTGTCTTTTTTTCTTGGACGGCTTGTTCTTCATGTACTGTATATGAGGAGGTAAACGCAGGGTTGGGCAAACTCCGGCCCTCTAGCTGTTGTGGAACTACAAATCCCATGAGGCGTTACAAGATTCTCACAGCCACAGGCATGACTCCCAGAGACAGATGTATCATGGGATTTGTAGTTTCACCACAGCTCAAGGGCCGGAGTTTGCCTACTCCTGGGGTAAAGCATGGAAATAAAGGGTAGTGACAGTTTATCCATACTTTGCCACTGTCTTTTTTTCTGGACAGCTTGTTCTTCATATAAATGTGGAGAAAAATAAAAAGGCATATAACATTAATTTAAAACGAAGCATTCAGTAATGACATCATTACATTTATCAACTGCTTACAGTTGTCAGAATAATGTCCAACAAAAGTGACAGGGGTTACTATCACACTGTCACCACCATGATTTAAAACTTAAAGCCTATCTCCAGTGTTAAAAACTCTCCTTGCAGTGGGGCTGCATGAGTTAACTGCTCATTATTTGTCTAGGGGACCTGTGTAAAGGACTTTTTACCTACCTGGTCCCCATTGCCACACACTTCAAGACCAGCACCTGCAGTCATTTTCCCCCTTGGCTCTGTCGGTTGGAGGCCTGCTGATGTTATCGCGTATAATACAGAGCCCACAGCCCTGCATTATACATGAGGACACAAGGCACAGTCCACAAGCCAAAGTGTAGGGGAGAAGAGCACCAACTGCTGTGGGAATGGGGATCAGGTAACTAAAAGTCCTTTACACCACACTGCTAGACATAAATGAGCACTTAACCTCTGAATTCCAGGGGAGACCAACTGCAAGGAAAGTTTTTTTCTCCTTGGAGATAGGCTTTGAGTCTTAAACCAAGGGAATAAAAGGTGGTGATAGTAATACATATTTTTTTCTTACCCCTGCAAGGGGATTTTTTTCCCTGGAGATGGGCCTTAAAAAAAAAGGATAGCAAAACTTCTAAAGCCCCCCAACACCTTTATAGCTTTCCCCAACCTCTGTCACTGTCACCTTTGCTGGACAGCTTGGTCTATAAACTGTTAATGGCCCCTGACACCATTATAGCTTTCCCCAACCCCTGTCACTGTCACCTTTGCTGGACAGCTTGGTCTATAAACTGTTAATGGCGGCTGACACCATTATAGCTTTCCCCAACCCCTGTCACTGTCACCTTTGTTGGACAGCTTGGTCTATAATTTATGGAAGCCCCCCTGACACCATTATAGCTTTCCCCAACTCCTGTCACTGCCACCTTTGCTGGACAGCTTGGTCTATAATCTATGGAAGACCCCTGACACCATTATAGCTTTCCCCAACCCCTGTCACTGCCACCTTTGCTGGACTGCTTGGTCTATAATCTATGGAAGACCCCTGACACCATTATAGCTTTCCCCAACCCCTGTCACTGTCACCTTTGCTGGTCAGCTTGGTCTATAATCAATGAAAGCCCCCCTGACACCATTATAGCTTTCCCCAACCTCTGTCACTTTTGCTGGTCAGCTTGGTCTATAATCTATGAAAGCCCCCCTGACACCATTATAGCTTTCCCCAACCCCTGTCACTGTCACCTTTGCTGGTCAGCTTGGTCTATAATATGAAAGCCCCCCTGACACCATTATAGCTTTCCCCAACTCCTGTGACTGTCACCTTTGCTGGTCAGCTAGGCCTTTATATAAATGTGAAGAAAATTATATATAAATACGTTTAAAATGAAATGAATACATATTCTAAATCCCTTTAATATATGTATTACCTGAACGAATAAATATGAATGAATAATTATACTGAGCACTTTCATTACATTGCTAAACTTCCTACCATTATAAGAAAACCTCTGATTATAAATCCAATCATCCTATAGATCTGTTGCTCTCCCAGCAGGGACATGTTTGCTGATCTGCAGTGAAGAAGTGATCAGCTCTGTAGAGCAGGTCGTCATGACTGAGGATTTGGGATAATCTCCTTGCAGGTGATGTGGGGTGATGGTTTTGCTGTCACTTTGATCCCGGATTCTTCACCTCCTCTCCATTCTCCCTAAAAACTGGAACGCAGAAAGAAGCTTGAAAGGTGAACCAATCATGTGCCTGGGGGGGCGTGTCGTCCGTGCCACAGTTAACCCTATGTGTGTAGAGGTCTAATCTGCCTGAAAGGCAGCGCTTGCCTTGGGGAGGCCGTTTTGCATTGCTTCTTGCTGCTCTTGTCAGTGAATCAGAGCCAAGGACCCGCAGAGAAGGAGCTGGCCATGGAGCATTAAGCTACACGTTACTAAGGAATCTATCAGTGCCCTGGATCTACATTGCAATCCCCATCAGCACTATCTCCCTTCACTGAAACCCCCCCAGAAACATGGAGATGTTAAATCTGCGCTGCGTCCTGGCTTGCCTTCAGCTCCTCTTCATCTGTCAAGTGGGTAAGTGATTTGAGAATAAATGAGGCTCCCTTTAACAAAGAAGGGTCCCCACTGAATGCAGGGTTAGCCCCTGTGCCCTGGCTGCTAAGGACAGTGTGTGTCATGTTATGTAGCCTGCCCTGTCATATTGAGCCATCTTCTATGTCTCCAGTATGTCCAGGATTATGCAAATTGACAGGTTTGTCTGGTTTGTCACAAGTACAGTAGCCTTCTGATGGCAGCCAGTAAGGTCAAAGGCAATCTGCTATTGTGGTGGTGTCAGCGCAGCAAATAATTTATTGCCTTCATAATACAATAGCTGTGTTGTCCAAGTGGAGTTTTAGATTAACCACATTCAATAAATGTTTTTTCTTTCTTTATTCTTATGCATAAAGCATGCTGATGTATAAAAAAAACCCTCATGGCCTTGAAGTGGACCGTTGTTCTCTATGGATGGTTAAACAAGAGAGCATCGTCCACAATAAAAACCTGCTTGGCGCAGGAGTCGTGATACTGTTTCATAGAACACAATCTAATTCATTATACACTTCGCTGACTTTAATTGTGCAGCACACAGCAGCAGCGGCGGCGGTCTATGGCTGTGTGGTTTTATCTGTAAACAAAATGTTCAGGAGATTATATTCTTTTTTTTATTTTTAAAAACTGAACAGCAAGGGATATGCTTAAAAAGACTGTAGCCCCCCAGTGGAGCTCACAGCTGCCTTATGGCTCTAGGATCTGTTCTATATCATGCTCAGGCTTTTCTATTCAGACTATATAGATATGAGGGTTGTTATATGATCATCACCTGTGGGTCACCACTGTGCCAATTTGTCTCAGTAGGTCGGAACACGAGCCCCCTTTACAGAATTCAGCACTTAAACCGAGAATATGGTTTCTAATGGCAACAAAAGCTGCTTGCGCTAAAGCAATTCAATGAGCATTGTCTGCTGGCCAGATGGTGTACACCAGGAAGCCACTTCCTTATTTAGTAATAATTCCATTAATTCAACTTTTCCTCTGAAACAATTTGAAGAATGGCCACCGAAGATTGTGGCTATTATAAATATTTGGCAACATTATTACAGATGTTTATAAACAGAGGAGTTCTTCAAGGCTCAATCCAATTTGCTTTCCTTTTTCTATTTGGCTAAGATCTAATCTTCATTAGAAGCTGGTATTTTTGTTTATCCAGTATGTAATTTTAGTCCTGTAATGGGGAGTTAATTAGGTTTTGCATCTTGCAGTGTATTGCTATTCATCTTCAGTGCATTGCTTACCATTTAATTATTCCTTCATTGACATAATTTAGTAGCCACAGACAGGCTGGGGGGTTTTTTTTTTCCCTCCCGAGGATGATGTTTAGACAAAGAACGGGGAGATGTTTTTCAGCCCAATGTTCTCTCAACAAAGCACACTTTACCAATGTATAATTGTAAGCAGAAAACATGCAAATGAATGAATCAGATCACATTGATCAAATTAAACACATAACAAAGTTTTATTGATGTATAAACAAGATAAGTGATATTAATCTTTAAGGACAATGTGACAAATGTTTCAAGCCTTTTTGGTTATGAATGAAAAAAAAATGTATAAATTAGAGTTTTACCTAATAGGTGCTTACAGTAAAAAGATATAGTTGCCCCATGCAATGTTCAGATTTCTGTCGAATAGTCATGGAAAGGTGATTTGTTATTGGGCCATATGTTTTAGCACACTTCTAAGCTGCCCATAAAGGGCCTGATCTGATGGTCTGATGCAACACTTCTGCAAGGATTGGGCCATATTGGGGTACCTCTAGGAGGTGTTGGAAAGCTCTTTCGATGTCTGAAGCATTTAATATTACTCATGGAGATTTGGGATCTTGCATAACCTGTGACCTGGAGAATCCTTTCATCTTTTCAAAATGTGGAGAGGTGTTAACCATGCATACTTTGTTTCTGCCCGTTGGGCAAACCACTTGAGGAGCAACAGCAGGCCCTGTTGCAAATAACAGGCAAATACCTCTCCACCCATGTCCTTGGAGAGACATCCGCCCATCTTGCCTATATTACACTTTGTGATGTTGGTTAATTAAGGGCTAAACTTTAATCAAAAGGTGATTATTAAAGTACATACTTAAATTGAATATATCTGAGTGAAGTAAGGCTGAGTCACAGACCCAGAACAGGCATTGTGTAAATGAGTGTCAAAAAGTGTCAGAATTCCTTATCTCTACACTTGTTCAAAGTCTTTTATTGTGGAAGTTTGGAGAAAAATGTTGCCCCATTGTGTACTCCCATGCATCTAAATCTTTAACCTACAAATGCATGAAGTAAGATATCAAGGTAAAAATAACATATGGATGGGAATATGGCAATAACATGTTTTCCTACTGGATTTTTAGCTAAACTACATTTATTTTAGCAGATTTAGCACCAACCTCTTGGACCAGGCAGGCAGATAAATAAAAATGCAGGCACCAATAAAAATGAAAAATACATTTTTTTGTAGGCAAGTTCTTGAAATTGTCTTGGAAATAGATAATTTTTATTTTTTTCTGCTACTCATTCTGGTGTTTAATATATGGGGTCTATTCACAAAAGGGTGAAGAGTTTGGAGAAAGCAGGAGAAGTGAACAATCTAGGACAACATAGCTGAACTGGAAAGTGAGCTGAATTGGAGAATTTTTCCAAATCAGCTATGTTGTCCTAGATTGTTCACTTCTCCTGCCTTCTCCAAACTCTTCACCCTTTAGTGCAGGGGTAGCCAAACTCCGGCCCTCCAGCTGTGTTGAAACTACAAATCCCATGATGCATCTGTCTCCTGGAGTCATGTCTGTGGCTGTGAGAATCTTGCAATGCCTCATGGGATTTGTAGTTCCACCACAGCTGGAGGCCCGGAGTTTGGCTACCCCTGCTTTAGTGAATAGACCCCATAAAACACCATAAAATCATTTGAAATCAAGAAACCTTTACATGTTCTACTGAAATACAAAAATGTTGCACTGCATTGCAGAAGACCAATTCAGACATTTGAGGATTTTTGTTTTTAAAATATTCCAGAAAACCTTTTAATAAAATAGATATTTAGCTGGGGTACAGCAGTAACAAAGCAAAGGATCAACAATGTGTTCTTCAACCCATAGAGGGAGCAGGCAGGGTGATCAGTGATAAACAGAAGCACTACCTGTCACTCTCAAAATGTAGAAAGTGATTGGGGGGAGCCTGCATGGGCAGTGAAAGGTCCCTGAGCAGGAAAGACAGGCATCCCAAGAAAAGAGATTGATTGGAGGCCGGTAGGGGTTACCCTTCAAAAGAAAGTAGTCTGCAATCATTCAGGGCTCCTCCTGTGGAAACAGATTGCTGAAGAAGCAGTGTGTGTGCACACACGTAGGGAGCACTTCTCTAGGCTTGTCTGGTTCTACAGGCAGGCACTCTGACCAAACTGGCGACTGATGGAAATAGGATTGGTGTACTGTTTTGCGAGATAGATGGTGGCGAACGGCCTGCACAGTTCAAGTTACATGAATTTATAGTCAGGAGATTTTAAAGGTAAATCACAAGTGAACTTACCTTTGTTCATTAATAAATAGTGGACAGCAAAAGCCTGAGATGCACTGTGGCCCAATAAACTGGATCATTACAAATCTTAATTTGATGTTAATCCTTGCAATATGTATTGTAGCACTTTCATCAAAGAATGTTTTTTCTTACAACACTTGTGTAAGAAACTATTCAAGCTCATTTGTGAGTCAGAGAAATACTGAGGGACCAGACGTCATATCGCTCTGTTATGGGGGAGAAAAAAGAAATCCAGCAGCAATAACCTGAAAAAGAAGCATCTTAACACTTACCTATCCAGTGGCCTTTGAGCTGAAACGTAGCTCTCTTTAAGAGTCCCCAATGGTGATATTATCCAACACCTCTGGTGTGGCATAAAGCATGCACCCCTATTGGTTGCTGTGGTTCCTTCTGTCAACATCTGAGTCACTGAATGACACTGTAGTGACATAGGGGTTGGTGGGATGAACCACAGCAGTCAGTGGGGGACCTGCTAGTCTACACATCTGGAAGTGCGGAATAATGTTTGTCAGCTAAGTTTCAGCTCACTGGCCTCCAGATAGGTTAGTATAAATATGATTCTTTTACAGGATATCACTGTTGGACTTTTTTTCTCCCCCTTACAGGGTCTTTTTAATATTAGCACTCTCTTAATAATAGCAATGTCACTGTGAGGAGAAAGAGAGGCATTCCAACTGTGTGAGGGCATTCTGTAATGAAACACATGCAGGGTTATTCACTAAAGGGGTGAAGAGTGTGGAGAAGGGAGGAGAAGTGAACAATCTAGGCCAAAATAGCTGATTTTGAAAAATTCTCCCAATTCAGCTCACTTTCCAGTTTAGCTGTGTTGTCCTAGATTGTTCACTTCTCCTGCCTCCTCCAAACTGTTCACCCTTTTGTGAATAACCCTGATAGAGGGGAATTTATCAAAACTGGAGCAGGCAAAATCTGGAGCAGCAGTGCACGGCAACCAATCAGCTTCTGTCTTTTATTTTTAAAGCTTAACTGAACAAACTGAAGAGAGAAGCTGATTGGTTGCCATGGGCAACTGATCCAGATTCTTTCTGATCCGGTTTTGATAAATTCCCACCACAATAAATAGTGAAAACACATTACATATGTATACAAATACAAGTGGTGTTGGGACTGCTCTGAAAAAAGCAGCTAGCACAGCCCCAACACATCTGGTGTGATCTAAAGGTGCACTTGCTCCCTGTTTTGATATTGTGGTGCACACTCTTGGATGCTTAATCATGTTCCTTGCTTGTAAAAATGGAAAAAAAATACAACGCAGTTGGTTTTTGTTAGCTAGCAACAGCAGCAATAAAAGTATAACCGTTGAGGCTGACCACTTTTCAAGAAAGCAAATCTTTGAGCAATACATTCTTCAATACATAAATAATTGTTACATTAAAAAGTTCCCCAGAGGTCCCCATCATCAGTTTCATCCCACTACTCTAACCCTTGATCACTAAT